GTCGTGTAGAAGTGTTCAGCAAAAAATGATCTTTATTCTCCATTTTGAAAGCTACATGCATGGTAGCGAGAAATTTAAATAGGATAGATTCCAATCTTATTAAAACCATTGTTTCTTCTCTCTGTCATGGTGTTTACGGATCTAACACCAACAACAATAATAATTAATCACATAATACTTTATCAGCACAAAGTGAACCATAATGGTGTTTTCTGAAACAGGAGTACTTGATCGAAATTGGATAAGAAACATTAGTATGATTAGCTGGGATTTATGGTTAAAGAACAATATAAATTATATCTTGAAGTTGAATTGAAATAATTTTTTGATATGATATTGAATCTTTGTTGATTAAGTGGTTAAGAATTCGAATTTTATCATCATTCTATTTTATTTGATAAAATTAAATACAGGATAGTGATGAATTTGCAAGTATGAATTGATGCTGAAGATGCTGCCAAAAAGCAATGGCAATTTGATTACAATGAAGTCTCTCTGTGGACTGCATTGCATCTCTTTGGCTTAGTGTAATCCGCCTAAAATCTTTCACAAAAAGAATCATGTAAACTACCAATGCTGAGCTCATGCCGCATAGAGAAGCCGGCATTTTGTGTACAACTCTGTAATCAACGGTAACAATGCTTAACTGGTTTGTCTCTACCATAGGTTTCAAGCTATAAATAGAAGGATTGAGGTATACACTTCTCCTCAGGTTGTAAGAATTAAATTAACCTAAGCCTCGGAGAAAGAAAAGATACAGGAGATATGGCCAAGTCTAGCAACAAAACAACCATGCTCTTCAACTTGACTTTGATGCTGTCTATTCTCCTCCTTGCGTCTGTCGTCGAAAGCAGATCAGTTCTTGGCAGTAAGTCTTAGATCAAACACTAGTGTAATTTAAACTCTTTGATCAATTTTATCTTTCTCTTGGCCATAAGGATAGCAGGCAATATTGCAATATGAATTGATGCCCTTCTTCTTGTTTTCGGGTTCTTAGGGGCAGCAGCATCCACACCAGACTGTGTGTCAGTGCACGGAGTAGTAACTGGAGACACTTGCTCTGCTGTTGAAAAGCAGTTCGGCCTAACTGCTAACGACTTCAATGCAATCAACCCCAATCTCGACTGTGACAAGCTCTTTGTTGGTCAATGGCTTTGCGTTGAAGGCACATCGAATTAAGCTGCATCCTTTCCAAGTATTCAAATCTTATTGTACGCTTTTTTATGTCTATGAGGACATGAATAAGGAGATGGTCTCCATGTCGCTAGCTAGGCTTCTCTGAATTACTGGCAATTATGTGCCAGTGATCATTACACTTTATTTTTCTCGGAATTTCAACTGTTCGGCTTCATGATAAAGCTTCGGCCTCCTGTCTCTCCCATTTCTTTCCCAGGACTGGCACTATCACTATAAAAGGAAATTTTTCATACAAAAAAAAAAAGAAAAAAAAAGGAGAGAGTTAGATATTTGGGATTTTCAGTACGAAATTATCCCACAAAAATTTTATATTTTATAATTTTTTTTTATAGAAAAGTTTTATTATAAAAAGTATTTTGATAATTATCCCTCAAAAAGGGAATACTGATGAGTGCTGACAAATAAGGCAGCCTGACGTTCAAGGCCCAGACTCACTCCAATTCAAGAAATGGGCCTTAAGGCCCAAAACAGCTCTTGGTGCTAATTTACAGGGCTGTAGGAAGTCCAAAACAAAAGCCAGCACAACCCTAAAAGACACGTGCCAACATCAGCGCTCTTGCGCTCCCAAGAATAAGAATTTTGTTACCGAGACTTCCCTTTCATGTAGATTGAATCCTTGAAACATTTACCTCATTGATAATAAGAGGTTGTCATATCATTTAAGCCATTCATACACAGCAGCAAGACTAAGGTTTTTTGAGTCACTTATATTATCTCCAAGCTTGATATTTCTTATGGTAAAATCTCAGTTAGTGAAATGGGGGGCTAAGATGTGTTTTTTTTTGTTTGGGGACCATTTCATAAGAATACCTTTAAAAAATTGTATGAATTTAAGGATGATTTTGAAAGAATTTCAAACTTTGAGGGCCACTTCGTACATTCGTCACTGGCTTAACGAGATTAATTCTACATTTGTCATAGAGCTTGTCACCCACACCAATTCTTCAGAAAGTAAAGAAATTACTGGCTGGCTGGCTGGTTTGATTTCTCTGTTTCAGTGACAAATAGAGAAAGCAAAGACAAGTGGTGGGTGTAAATATTGTTCCTAGAACTTTAGCTAGGAACAGCACCACGTACACTAGATGGCCTTGCCAGCTCAACTTGCAACCCAGGCGAGGTGGCTGATCGTTTTAAACATCACGACAATGCCTCCATGCAGAACAAACCAATCCTCCATGCCACAGAACTCTGCCAGTCACCACCTCTTTCACCCTATAAAGTGAGCTTCAAATATCAGCCCAACTCACCACTTCTCAGTTTTTTCTTCTTTCTTCTGCTGCCCTGTACACGTCCAGCATGACTAAACATGTTGTATTATTGCTTCTCTCTTTGCTTGCTTATGCAGCTGTAGCAAGCACTGAAATGCAGCGGAGCGAAGCGCAACAATGCCAGCTCCGGAAGATCTCTACCAGCAAACCTTCTCATCGGATGAGGTCCCAAGGTGGTGTGACTGAGATTTGGGACCCGGAGGAGGACCAATTCCAGTGTGCTGGGTTCGCTCCCATGAGGGACACTATACAGACTAATTCCCTCTCTTTGCCCAAGTTCTTCCCTGTCCCTCGCTTGGTATACATTGCTCAAGGTAAGATAAACGATTTTATAAGATCAGGCTGACTGATAATATGGACCAATAATTAAGAGCTCATTTTTATGCTCTTTGAGAAAAGTTAGCTAACATGAGAAGTAAAATGGAACAGGTAGGGGAGTAATGGGAGTCAGCTATCCTGGATGCCCAGAGACGTTTCACAAAGATCAGCAATTTTCAAGAGGCCAAGGCCAGAAGGGAATGTCAGGAGACCAGCACCAGAAAGTTCACAGGATTCGCCGCGGAGATGTCATTGCCGTGCCAGCAGGAGCAGCCCATTGGTGCTACAATGATGGTAATGAGGAGCTCATCGCTATCTCTGTTCTTGATCTTAACAACCAGGCTAACCAGCTGGACCAAAACCTTAGAGTAATATTTCTCTCCATTTCCCTTCGAAGTTCCAGTAACTTTTAATATGTGGTGAGGGAGCTAATTGTTGGTAATTGTTCATGTTACAAAGGGATTTATGCTGGGGGGCGGCCAATCCAGGCATGGACAGGAAAGAGCTTCTCGGAGATATGCAGGTCAATCTGAGAGGAGCCATGAAGAGACCTTCCAGAACATTTTCCGTGGATTTGACGAAGAGTTGATGGCTGAGGCCTTCAACGTTCCAAGAGAGACTGTAAGGAGAATGCGACAAGATAGTAACAGAGGACTCATTGTCAAGTGCCGAGAAGATATGAGAATCATGTCACCCGATCAAGAGGAAGAGGAACAAAGCGAATCTTCACCTCGGAACGGCTTGGAAGAAACTTTCTGCAACATGAAAATCAAACAGAACATTGAACTCCAAAGAGAAGCCGATGTTTACACTAAACAGGGAGGAAGAATCTACATTGCCAACCAGCAAAAGCTTCCTATCCTCCAATTCCTTGACATGAGCGCTGAGAGAGGCCATCTTATGCCAGTAAGTAACATTTAACCCAATTTCAACCCTTGATTTACCGTGCATTTTTTTAATCCAACTTCATAGAATCATTCCTCTCGCAGAATGCATTGTACACGCCACACTGGTCCATGACAGACAACAGAGTCGTCTACGCTCTCCGCGGTGAGTTGAACGCACAGGTTGTGGATGAAAGAGGAAACACCATAATGAACGAGAGAGTAAGGCAAGGTGACATGTTTGTGATCCCTCAATTCTATGCTACATTGATGAGGGCAGGAAACAATGGTTTTGAATGGGTGTCATTCAAATCAAGCAGCCAGCCAATGAAGAGTCCCGTGGCTGGTTCCATTTCCGTGATGAGGGCCATGCCCGTTGATGTCATCTCCAACGCTTACCAGATTTCCCCAAGAGAAGCTGAACAATTGAAAATGAACAGAGATCCAGAGTCCATGCTGCTGTCCCCTACCAGGACCTCATCTTGAACAGAATTTTTGTTCTGCTAGCTACTTCCTGTACTCCTAGGGCCACGACTACTAAGAAATCCCTTCTTGTTTCCTTAGAGAAGGATCCATCAACCAAGAAGCTTCTGTATATTTTGTGGGCGAGTGTAAAAATGCATGTAAGCCTTCTTTTATGATCAATAAAAGGTGGCCTTCTTTTATGACAGCCTTCCAGTTCTACCTGGACCATGGCTCATATAATCTTTTTTCCCCTAACATTGCCCAGGCTAACGAAGAACAAATAGCCACTCAAAATATCGCATATCCTGAAATGACAGAATGGACCCCGCAGTACTATTCTAAAAACGACGGCCAAGAGAACTTTCTGGTGCAAATTACAGCAGCCATTTCCCAGACAATGAATTTTGTGATTTTTTTATTTGATCAAATGAAAAATGTATGCTAGCTAAGCTTTCCCAGGCCACGTGAAAACCCTGGGAAGTTCGGACCCAAAAAACAAAATTGGAAAATAAAAGAAATTCAGTAAATTTCAATTGTACAACATCCATCAGTAACTTGAAAATATGAAAACTAGATGAGGGATTGGACACCAAGCTGTTGCATTTCCATTAGCTTCCATATTGGGTAGATTGCACCCCCACCAAGTTCTTCTGGATCTACTTGTCGCATAGCCCATGCATAGTATACAGTATGGATTGTATCCTACGACAGCCACCAAAAAATTTATTCGAACTCTCGCAAGCAAGAGCAAGCAGAAAGAAGAGTGTTGATTTTTAGGAAAAACGTTTTGAGAAAGAAGATTCATATTTACCTGACCCCCTTCTGTTATTGCACCATTTTGATCACGTATACAATGGACTTGCTGTGTCTGGAACTGCATTTATTCCAAGAAACATGGCCATCAATAGGCAGAAAATCATTTAATGATTGCAATAAAGTTACCCAAAAAGGGATGCATACCGCCACAATGATTAGCGGAGAGGTTCCCATCATTTTGATCTCCCTTACTTCCACATCAGATATATGTAAAATCTGCACCAATCATAAGGATTTTTTTATCAACTTATCAAACTGGAATATACCATGCATTCCATTTAAAAACAATATACAAATAACTGCAGTCTGCAACCAATACCTAAAAGTCATGACAACTATGAGTTCTTTCCCAACTATGAGAAACATATGCAGCCTCTTAAATAACTATCTATTTCCTAGTCTTAAATTGCTTGATAAACCCACCAAACGATTATAAATGTAGCAAAATCCCTCAAAATTAGATGTGCACACACTTGTCAACATACCGTCATTGTTTATTTCATTCTTTGTACTCATCATTTAGTAATTCTAAAAACAGTTATATACTGAATAGGCAATACAATAACATTAACTATTATGTCTGATGAATCACTTGACCACATGCTCTATCACTAAAGCAATTTGAAGGTCAACAAGAAATGCAAATGGATTACTTCATTCATGACATGTATGCTTTGCCTGGACACCACCCCCTACCCAGGCACATGTTTATGATGCTAATGATGAGATAGAACTCAGCACCCATCACATCAACAAGTAACTACAGTATGCATCCTGATATATGTTATTGTCGATTTTGATTATGACAACAAGTTCTTTCTGACTTTTAGAAACATATTTAGCATTAAAGGCCTGGCTATTTTCTAGTCTCAAATTACTCAAGAAACTCACCAAATTATTGTATATGTCACAAAATCCATCAAATATAAGATATGCATACACTGGGCAAGAGTCTCAACATACCCTGTCATTGTCTCTTCATTTTTTGAACTTGGCATATAGTAATTCTAAGAACAGTTATATATATAGCACAGCAACATGGTCTAACTTGAAGTGGAAATGTGATAGATAGCTATTACATCTGATTACTCATTTAAGAGAATTAAGTTAATAATTATGCTTGGCAAAAGCATCTACATAGTCCTCTAAAAATACAATAATTGAAATGAAAAACATTTGCCTTTACCGTGGATAAAAAAAAATATTAAGAAGGAATGTGCAAACCCACCGGAAGAAAAGGACATTCTTCCGCAGGAAAAACTAAGCTCAGCAAAATGGCACTCCAATCAGCTAAATGCAGCAAAATCCATGCCATTAAAAGCCTTGAACATTGCAAAATAAAGAAAGTGTTTTAAAGTGGAAATTGTTACCTTGTTATCAAAGAATATACCATGGGCCTCAAAAGCCTTATGTTCTGCTTCACACCGATTAATCACTTCAGAGGTGCAGTATTTCTTCAAAGTTTCTATATCCCCCTGTACATAGAGAGCATTGGTTAGTTGCTGATGAGACAGAATTTCAATTACTCATATGGGCAAAAGGTGGGAGAGTCATGATAAATGAACTTTGTGCTCACCTTCATATAAGCATTAAGGACAGGTCTAATAGCTTCCTGAACTTCTGCCACAAAATCCATCAAAGAAAATGATCTGGTAAAAACACATCCAAGGAACAAAAAAGTTCATAAATTTAAGATGTTGGAATACAGAACATTAGTTTGTGAAAAAACAAAATGAAGCTCATTTGATCATACGGATCTCGACGACGTATTTCCTTGATTGATGCTGCTGCGTCACTTTCTTGAAAGATGGAATCACTGACACTGTCAAGAAAGGAAAATGTTTTATGAACTCTTTAAGGTATTCGTCCTCTCTAGCAAGAGCACACAGGAGGGAGGGAGGGCCATACTCCTGGATTTTGTGAACAATGGGACTATCACTCGTCTCCCATCTATCCCGCATGTCCTCTGCAATCTAGGAATTTCAACCAAAAGGGATTTTACAAAAACGATTTGAGAGGGGCACGGTGAACTAACACCTCAAGAACTGATATGAAATTATGGAAGATCAGACCTCATGACCCTTTGTCACAACAGGTTCACTGAGACCAGCAAAATGCTTGAATAAAGGATGACCTTGCATCTGGGCTTAAAAGATCAGGAAACATTATCATCGCAGCGAAGAAGCATGACAATATAAAATAAGTAGCTTTATTTGTAATGAAAATTCATGCAGCATTAATAAAATTACTTTTTCTCTTATTGACTCCCATTTTTTACTCCATCGAGACTGTTTTGAGGGTAGAACAGCAATGTCAGTTTTTGTACTTATTTCACCGCTGAAGGAAGGAGGAGGGGTATATTCCAGGTGCTTTCTCGTATTGGTATTACCATATAACTCATCCTTCACAACATCATATCCTTTCTTCATCATTTCACTGACCCTTGCTCCTTTCAATTTCTGGAAGGCTAAAGACACTTTTGAGGAAGGAATGCTTGATTTAAACTTTCCAAACAATGTTTCTGTTGTATCACTGGTTCCAGTCTGCTTGTCTGCTTCTTCACCAGGAAAGGCCTTTCTACATTCTTCAGCACCAACACCATCTTTAGTCGATGTGCCAGCAGACTCAGATGACTCTTCTTTCCCAATCCCAAAAGTTTCTTTGACCTAATCACCCAAGATGTAAAAAATAATTACTTCACGGCCATCACTCCAAAGAATAGGCTGGTGATTAACAGGTAAGCATACCTCCTCTGTGGCAGCTGAAACTTTTTCTTTAACATTGGCAGAAACCTAAAAACAACAAGCAATTGCTAATAGTAAATTATATCCAACTAACACGTGTTATTATTAAAACTCAATAATCCTAGATTCTCCAATTCAGAGACTTCGAAATCAACCCCACTGTCCGCTATCTGATTAATAGGTCAGTTTCAAAACTCTCTGAACAGAAAGCAAAAATGACTTTGAAACTCTCTGAATGGAAAGAAAAAATTGATCTTGCAAAATATGAACAATCTACTCACAAAAATGGAATGTTCCAAGCAAAAGATACTTCTACGGTCAACAACATCTGAAGATCAACGATATGAATCACACACCTTTTTCGCAGTAGCTTCAGCTTCAGTCCAAACGCAATCCACATGCTTGTACAGCTTCTCAGTTGTCTGCTTCGTTCTGCATTCGCCATTTCATCATCTCAGGCTCTCCCTTGACATACAACGGTATGTCTCAGCCTATTAACTACTAATTAAAGCTAACAAATTACATAAACCATGAACCTGCTGTTTATTCTCAAGACACACCTTACCTTACTTTGAGCTCTTCTTTCACCCCTTTCAGTTCCTCAGCTTTTTCCTTCAGTTCCTTCACAGACTGTTTAAATTCTAGATTTCTGCATCCAATATCAACGAAAAATGTATAAATAAATTATTACAACTCCATAACTAACAAAAAAAGGGACCATAAATACCTTTGAGCTTCTCCTTTAACTTTCTTGGAAAACTCATTGAAGACGCTAAATCGACGGTAGCCGGAATACGGGCATCCGTAACTTGATACCACCTGTAATCTGCTGCTTGGAACCTACAACGCCAAAAACAAAACATACAGTCACTACCCCAATACAGAAAGACAAAGACAAGGGGGGGAGGGGGGGGGAGGTTTCTTTGGAAAATAACCTGTTTGGTTATCAATTGAAGACACAGGGGCTGTCTTGAGAGTACCAAGTCTCGAACAAGTTTCCTGCTCGCCATTTAAAACAGAACAATTTCTTTGGTTTAATTCTTTCCAGAGGGGGGGTTGTCGATGTTTCGTGAGAAACAAACCAGCAACGGTAGCGGTATTATTTTGTTGCCCTAACGTGTGTTTGTATTTTAGTTGCTGCCTATAGAGAAGAAGGGAGGGGTTTGTTCGGGTGACGAGAGATTTGTGCGGAACTCAGGATGTCAGAATAACTTTGAGCTCGTCTGGGTTAGCATGTGAGCCTTGACCAAACAGTAACCTAGGACCGAATTTCTGGTCTGGGCTGGGCCGGCATGGGATGGGCTGGGTTAAGAGAAATGGTTCGCTTCAAATTTCACTTCAAGAATAAGATTGGAAACACAAATAGATTAGTGAAGAGATTCACAACAGGATCAAACAAGAGTTCAACACAATTCAATCCTAGTCGCACAACACACCAGTCGACAAAATCCAAGCTAAAATTTCAAGTTCTTTACATCTGGGCAACATTGCAACACAACAATAACAGAGAAACACACAGAAGGATTGGTCACAAAAACAAGTAAGAATATATACTAGTTTATAATTAATTACAAGCTTCGTTGGTAACAGAGAACTGCTTGGCTTGAGCGGCTGCAGCCTCCTTGGAGACCAATGCCTGTATCAGCAGAGTCTTCACTTCCCAAGCAGAGTATGGAAACCCCTCTCTAGCATATGAGTTCAGAAGGGCTGCACTCGCCTGCTTCAACAACCCAGCAAATGCGTTCTCATCGTCATTCCTAGTCGTTGATTCCAGCAAGGTCACATCCGACCCGTACCGCTCAAATACTCCTGATCCAAATACCTTTGATACCGTTGCTCTCTGCGGGACCATCCTTGGCCATGACTCTCTCCTGCTGCTCCAGAACCTGAGACAGATACGCGTCCGCTCATGTCACTCAATCCACAAACT